TAACTTATTAATTACCGTCATAATCGCAGTTTAGAGCTACAGATTCAATAATTTCTAAATCTAATAGACTTCCAAACAATTCTTTCAAATGGTTCACAAGCTGTTTCCTTTGAACTTCTTTTAGATTTGTTGCCATCCTGAAACTAAATTTATACTAGCCGCTAAATTTATCTATAAAAAAGGACGATAGAGGGCGCTATAGAACATTTTTGGGAAATACATGGGAAATCCCTACAAATAGCATTGTTACCAACTTAAAGAAACAATGAATTTAAATCCACTAACTTACTTTAAAACTTAAAAGTTTAATTTTAACAAAATTTTGCTAAAAAGCATACATCTAAACAGAAACTACCACATCATAAAAATATTAATTGGAATGTATCAGAAATTAATGTTTAATGTACATACCTACCTATATATTAACGATATATAATTAAAGATTAACGTTGAATCAAATTGAAGTGCAATAAGAATAAATAAAATTTGCTTACCCAAACGATTGTTTATTATAATTTTAATATATGCAGTGATCTTTGATGCACGAATAAATATTACGAATATTACCTATCAGTATGGTTTTAGGATTATCTATGTAAGTAGTCATTGTATCATGTTACACTTATACCACTTACCTATTTTATCAATTTCCAAATCACAAAACTCTTAATTATGACTAAATACTAATATATGGATCTTGTAAACAAACACATTACACATAACCTTTGAGATATAAGTAAAATTGAGCACTAATTAGAAATGTTTTAGGGCAATAGAAATCATCAAAAACAAGCAAATCTAAATTTTAATACCACAACAATGAATTTAGACCAATTAATTATAAAAGTATCTCATTAACCAAGGTGAAAAATTTGTTACATATATGTATTATTTATATCAATATTACCAACATTTGTTTCTATGAAGGTTGTCCTACTTCTCTCTCACTCTTACGTACAAGGCAATAATATTTTAAATAAACCTCTTACTTTAATTAATAACATAAATAATATAATTTTTGTTTATGTTCGCTATGTTTCACTAAGTAGCTCTTTTGTAAATATACCATTAAATATTTCAAAAAAGTAATGTACAAAACAAAAGACAAAAATATAAATCTTTACTATTCGTATATACAACCTACTGGCCTTAAAACTCCCTAAATTGAAGGTTAAAATAAAATTATGTCGACAACAGCTGATGCTCAAATATGATCGAGTCGTTACATTTAAGTTTTAAAAATAATGAACAAAAAACTTCTTTTAATTGGACTTTTTTTAATTTAAAAAACTGAATTTCATATAGAAATTATATATATATACGTGAGAAAGTTTAAAGTGAGTTGAAAGTGGTGACTTCTAGTAAACCTAATGAATTATTTTGAACACTTAGTAAAAAATATCTACAAAGATATTTTTTAAGCCTAAAATCATTAAGTTCTACGCCCTTTCGGATTTATTCTATTAAAGATAGTTTGCGGTATCTTCACATGCTACTATAACCTAACCTATAACTGCGCCGTGAATTGTCAGATAAGTGTTTGGTGTAGTGTAAATACTTTATTAAGTAAAATAAAGCTGAAATGCCTCGCAGTAAAAGAAGATCAACAGAAATGAATACTTCAGAAGAGGAAAGGCAAGCTTCAAAGAGACTACGTAATTCTACAGGGTAAATTTCTGACGGCTTTTTTCTTATAAAAAAAAATTAAACCCCCTCTTATAAAACATCTCTGGACTTAATAAAAAAACACTTTAATTTCTATATTCATGCCCATTCTTATAAAATTTGTAGCACAGGATTTATCTTTAGGAAAGTAATTTATTTTAGCATGTAACTGTCAGAAACCTTACCAGTTTTTGGTTTAACTCGAAAAACCTACTGAGTACTTATCTTTATAAGATGATATTTTATATTAAGACTCTAATTGTAGCCGGTTTTCACTTACATTATTCAACCTTCTTCATGACAATGCATTAACAAATAAATTTCATGTTTTAAGAATATCACTTGTCTATGGAGTTGAAAGCGTAAAAGTAAATGTGCCAAATAAGCCAATGCCATACAATAGTAGGATTCTCAGTTTCTGGAATTTTGTAAAATTATTTCTTACCAAAACATTTGAGAGATGCTACTGTTTTCTGTATTCCTA